AATGAAATTTAATTTAATGTACGATACTTACTATGCGAGTGAAATCTAAATATAGTTTACGGACAGCATCTTGTATATAGTGTATTGTTAAAGGAGTAATAGGGTCGGAAAGTCTCGTCACGTGACTCGCGAGATATAACGTGAAAACTTACTTCCGGGCAGTTGCCAAGGATGGCTTTATCAATAATTTACTGGGCTCGGTACGTTGAAAGCCACACAAAACTTACCAGGAAAAGTGAGAAAGCTGTGGATAGCGACAGGGTTTTAAAATTTGTGTTAGATAAAGAGTTTCGCGTTATTACTGCGGTTGTGCAAGCGTCAATGCGAGACACATCTTACAAAGTTCAGGTATGTACATTCGATTTCGCATCAATACATTAGAACAATTTCAAACTATATCTAAGAGTCTGTTCAAGATCTTTAATGTTTATAACTAAAAACTGAGTAAAGTTTATAGATTTAAACTATTTTTTAATTGCGGGCTGTGGTAATCCAGCGTCTTGGCCTCCTCCACCTCGCCCAAAGAATTCATCATGTTTACAATTCACTGAAAATATTCCGTAAAACATGTAGATTTAGTCAGAGAGTCTAGTGTTGCAAAATTTGACCAAATTCACTATCGATTATCAAATTGAATCAGTAGCATACAATCAATTATACGATCGAATTTAATTATTTAATTTAAAGGTTAAATAAAGTTAACCAGCAAATATTCAGATATCCTCGAAGATGAAAACAATATTTCAATACAAATCTATGAGACCAACTTCAGTTTATACTTAGTAGGAAAATTTGTCTGCCATTTGCAAGAGAAATAGGGGAATATCCTTTGATAATGTTAAAAGATGAACCAGTTTGTATTTAAAAAAAATTTTTAAAAAATGTAGCAACTTTGATTTTAAAATTTTCTATCAATTGTCGCTGTCTTGTTGACTTCAGGGATGATTTTTCGATAGTCGGCGATATCATTGTAACACTATGACAGAGACTTGTTTATTTTATTTTATTTTTTTTTTTACTTTTAACAGATATTTCTGGAAAATGAAGAAAACAGTACTGGTACTATAAAGTCATCGACGTGTGAATGTCCAATGGGCCAGTTTCGCTGCCACCATGTAGCTGCAGCTCTTCTGTTTGGGTACATGAAGCATATTCTGTTAATTCATTTGTTTAAAAAAATGCAACAGTTTTGCAGCTTGAAGTCCGATTTTTTTTTTATTTCAGCTGAATTTGTCAATACTTATATTTTGTGTGTTTTATTTTTTTGTCTATTCTAAATCTAAGTGCTTTACTAACTAGTGTATAAAATAATCCTTTAGATATAAGAGGGCAAGCAAGACAGATGTGAAGTGCAGCTGGATCAAGCATCCTAAATCTGCTCCTCCTAAAGCCATAACAACAATGGGGGAAATGTATCCACCCAGGCAAGATTATAGGTAACTCACAAGCACCTTTGTACATTATATATTTGGTAATTAAATAATAAATGAAAGGTTGTGTTATTCATTTGAATATTTCATTCTGTAATGAATACTTGATGTATATACATGTAAATTTAGAGCATTAAAAAGAGAGATGACAGATGCAGATAGATCATATTTGTATGATCAGCTAGGTCATTTGGGTAGATTTACAGGTTTGCTTGATGAACAATATTTTTTTCATCCTTGTCACAAGGGAAACTGTTTCCTCTGAATCAAGGCTCATTTTATGATTTATTTTTGAGTTAATGTTACATTTTTGTTATTAATGGATTTTCATTTATTTTTTAAAAAGTTACATATTTTTTTTTATGTAACACTTTCATCATTTTTAAATTTTCTTTTTTAACATGTCAACTTAGTGTGGCATATATTTTGAGAACATACCGGTATATCATCTACCTGTAATTTCTTTGACCTAGAACAAATATTATTTCCATTTTAAATGTTTTTCATTTTTTCTTAAGTAAATAATTAATACATTGTAATTCATAAGGTATTTTAAGTATAGACTATTCACAATGATCAAACATATATTGTCAGCTAAATAAAGTACATAACAAGCGTTAACTTACAACATAATATGTTGAAAGTTGTGGCCAATGTAATGGTAATTGCTATTTCATTTATTGCAGCTATGCACTGGATTTTATCAAATGAGCCTGAGTGTGAGGAAATGCCAGCATTACTTATTGAAGACCAGCTCATAAGTGAAGAGTACTTGAATGCTCAGTGCAAGTCATCTTATTTAAGGTATTCAAATTCAAATAAACAGAATATGTAAAAACTTGTGCTCTTTGAAATAATTCATTATTTTTGGCTTTTAAAGAAATGAAGGTGTAAAAACAGATTTTTTATATATACATATATATATATGATTTTTAACATAGGGAGAAACTTGTCATTTGTTCAGAAAAGATTATTGAAACAGCATGGCTGACTACAGGACAAAGAGAGAACTCTTTATGGGCAGCTGTTCGCAAATTGAGAATTACTGCATCTAATTTTGGACAAGTTATTGGTGCTATTAGAAGAAATCGGTAAATAAAATTTACAATGGTTTATTTAATGTACAAAAGCATTACATTTTAAAAAAAATATTACTGAATTCTTAATGTGTGGTCTTTTTATTAATAATTTTAAATTAAAACTATGAAATTCATTTTTTTTTTTTCTTGAAGGCTCTCAGTATCATTAAAGAAAAGATTACTCAGTGCATATAATCTTGAGAAAAGAGCTTCTATTCAGTGGGGACTTACACATGAAAAGAGTGCAAAAGATGACTATTGTAAACTTTCAGAGGTCTCGATATTAGAGACAGGTAAACAATTATCAAATTCAATTTAAATGTTTTTAAAAAATTATCCTACCTGCATTTGCTGTGATGCAAGTTGTTAGCAACACAGGTAAAATTTTGCATCAGTAGTGACCTTAAGTAATAATTTGGAATGAACTGGTCCTTTTCTACAACTTTGTGACATAAAACAATTTACGTTCAACATTAGATGCTTGTTTTGTTTTCTCATCAGAACATCTATTTCATCTTTAATGAAATGAAGAAATTGATCACTGAAGAATAAAATGGTTTGCGATGTTATGTACATGTTTTGTGATATTTACTTAATTCCCTTGATTTTTTTCTATCATTAAGATACGATTGATAACACATCCATTATTAAGTATGGAATTTTGCCTCTTAATAATCATGATAGCTCAGTTAGTTGTGTTTACTCTGTGATTGGTCACTGCATAATGATGCCGAGTAAAGGTCGAAATTAGAAGCCCTCGATATGAGTGAAAAAATTACCCAATGGTATGTAAAACAACATACATAACAAATATGGTTAAATTTATATTGTAGTTTTTAATTTCAGGCATATGGCTTCATGAATCAGGTGTTCTTGGTGCCTCTCCTGATGGATTTGTCCAAGGTGATCCCAAACATTTGAAGATTCACCTTCAAGGAAAAGTGAGTGCATCACCAGATATTATAGAGGTTAAATGTCCTTTCTCTGCAAGAGCAATGTCTATCAAGGATGCCTGTACAAATTTGAAAGATTTCTTTCTAGGTAAGTACAAACCGATTTGAAAGTTTTCTAAAAGAGCCTGGTATATGTAAATTAGTTCTCATTTTTCTTTGATGAAACCATCTTTCATGATTTATGTCTAGATAAAATTATCCTACATTATTTTAGTGAAAGAATAGATGTCGATCTTTTGAAATCATTTTAGAGTGTGACTCTGAGGGTGTCCTGCATCTTAGAGAGAATCATGATTATTGGCACCAAGTTCAAGGCCAGCTTTATCTTACAGGCACCACTTGTTGTGATTTCGTAGTTTGGACACCAGTAAGCATGGAAGTCATTCGCATCCTTCGAGACGAATTATGGGAAATTCACTTGAAAAACATGATTGAATTCTACTTTAATGTGTTTCTACCCTCTCTCCAGTAAAATTTTGACTGACTTTATATTGTACATGAGCATACATGTATATTGGTGCACTCAAAATTTAGCTCAATCCTCTTCTTCAGTATGATAAGCACAATCATTATCTCAGTGCGATTAGCATTTTGTTTGACAAGTTGTGCTTGCTAATAGCATGTCCATAAATAAGTGAACATGAAGCAATACCTAAGACATTAAATTATGAATACCACCAAAGTAAGTAACTATGTTTACTGTAAACAGATCTCTTACATTGCCTTCTTCCCTTAGTGCAGTAAATAAAAAGAGAATTTGAATTTTTGCCAAACTGTTTAATTTTATCATGGTTTATTTTTTGCAACTAATGATCAAAGCAATCATTATCTTAAGCATGCATCACCAGTGTGGAAATTTTGAACAAAATAAGTAATTTAAGATGTACAATTGAGTCCTTTTCACAAAAAAGTAAAAGAAAAGAAATATATACAAACTGCAATTCTAAAGATGCAATATCATTAAAATGAGATCTATGTAATTAGGGTCAGACAACATTTTTAAACAATTTAATTATTTGAAAGGGACGTATAGTTTATATTAAGTTTATATAATTATATTATGCATGATTTCTGAATACACAACATCCTGATTAGACAAGTGCCACAGAATACATTCACTGTAGCATATATACATGTAATGTTCATATATAGTAATTACAATACATGTGAATTATATAACAGTTTTTCTCTAAAAAATAAACATATTGTTTTTCAAAAGTAGTTTTTCAAGCTTTGATTGATATTAAGTTTATTTGGCTTCTTTCAAATGCACAACTGATGTTTCCAGAATTCTATGATGAACTGTGCGCGCATAATTTTACATTATCCTTGTGTTACATGTACCCATTCTCAAGTGTGTTGCTAATGCTGAGGATAACATTACAAATTGTTTAATATTTCTTAAACAAATCTGATTTTAGTATTTAACATGAAAGTATAATAATGAATATAAACATTATAGAGATTTTGTGTACATATTTAGCATGTTTGAAAAGATACAAGTTAGATGTTGTGTACTACTTTAATTCACACCAGTTCTAAATTTCATACTTTTCTGCTATTTCCTTCAACAGAGGAGCTTGCAAATTAACAAGAGCTACACACAGTTGGAAAATTTTAGTGGCAAGATGTCTGTATTGTGCAGGAATGTGATCTAGAATACGGTAGTTCTTGATTCTTTCATTTGCTCGCTCCACATGAATTCGACTTCTCCCAATCTTGTAACAAAGCTGTGCTTCTTCCTTTGTGAAATGACATTTGGATGACAGGAAAGGTGGTATGTTTAATGTCACTCCTGGTGGAAGCTTATCAAATATGTTGAAGCCCTTATCTGCAAGGATCATATCACCTGGCTTCAACATATCCAATACACCACAGTGATCAACAATGGCAGCATCAGAGGTGGATCCAGGATAGAGTTCTGAACAATACACTAAAGCACCATTTGGTGCTACACACGTGACAGCTTTTACTGTATGGCGACTTTTGTAGTTGCTGTAAGATAGCGAGTGGTTATTCATGTCTGATGGTACATCCTGTGTGATTTTGGTGGCATCCATTGCTATTCTCGCAGAGGAAAACTCCTCAAATGATTTGGGCATTGACCCTTTGCATTTTAACTGGGAGGGTATCCCAACAGCCTTCATCACTCCTTCAAATAAAATTTCATGCAGCACTGTAACATAGGTATTCAATATGTTGGAGACAGTACTTTTACTGGTGTTAAATCTTTCTGCTAAATCCAAATCCCTTAAATTAAGGCGTAACTTCATAAGAGTCATAAGGAGCTGGTCACTGGTACTGATCCCTTGTACTGTCCATCCATTATAGTATTGGAATGGGGCCATTCTTTCCAACAAAAACACCAGTATATTGAAAACTTCTGAGGGAAATGAAGTATATAACAGCATCTATAACAAAGCAAAACAACCATTTATAAATTATGATCAATGAATATTGCCACATGTATACTATTTTTATACAAAATAAACATCTTGTGTGGTACCTAAGTGCAAGAGAAGGTTTTGTCACAAAGAATACATCTGTGAAATATGAAAACCCGAGCACCAACCTTTCAAAAGTTATGGCCAAGATTAAAATTTTTCAACTGTATGTCAGACAAAGGTCAAGGTCAAAATTGTTGCTATCCAAGTGAAGGTCTTTTCACAAAGATGTGAAAACCTTGGAACTAACCATTCGAAAGTTATGGCCAAAGTAAAAAGTTTTCAAAAGTGGCTCGAACTCCAAGGTCAAAGGGGGTCAAAGATGTTGGTATCTAAAGGAAGGTCTTGTCAAAAAAAAAATCCACTTGTAAAGTATGAAAGCCCTAGCATCAACTGCTCAAAAGTTATGGCCAAGGTTAAAGTTTAGTTAAAATTTTGCAAAAGTGGGTCAAACTCCATCACAAGGAATACATATGTGATACAAGAAAGCCATACATTGTAGGTCCAACCAGTCAGTAGGTTTGGGCAAGGTCAAATTTCTTGCGGCCAAACAGACTAACGGACAGCTAATCAGACGGACGGACACAACAATTAAATCTATATGCCCCCAAATCTTCGATTAAGGGGGCATAAAAATATGCTCAAATAACATACCTTGTCTGGGTCCTGTATTATGTTGCAAATTGTAAAGGCTTGTTTTTTCAGTTTTAGTGACTCTAATTCTCTTCGGAGCTCTTTCACTCTTTCTGCTAAATCAACACTTTCTGTAATGATTACAAAACAATATTAGCAATATCAACATTAAACCATAGTAGGTATTTAACATCAGGGTGGTATATAGTATAGTATAGTATAGTAGTATAGTCAAATAAGGGTAGTAGCTAGTGTATGAATTAAATTTGGTACTGAAAGAAGTTTGACCCCCCCCCCCTCCCAACCCACCCCCAAGCATGATATTCTATTTTCATATAAGGCTCTATAAGACACATAAATATGTCAGTGAGGCCACCTTTAAAACAATGTTTGTTTTTCCTCTCCAGAATCAGAGTAAAAAAATAGGATTGGCAGGGTAAGTTGCACCATGTCGGTAATTGTTGACGTAATGAAAAAATTCAGAAAAAAGTTTATAGACATTATAGACATAATAATATAGGCATAATACAAATAATGTCCATCTGATATAATTTTTTTTTCAATACCTTTGGATGCCTCTGGAAAATAAGCAGTATAACTGTGATCAGCGTGGATCCCTCCTTCACACTGTGAAGTTGTCATTGCACATTCTCCATCGAACCCTTCTGTCAAGCATACAAATAAATTACACACAAAGTAATATTTTTATGAAAAGCATCATAATGAAAGGATAAATTACTGCAGTCTTTGCAAACAATAATCTTACAGGGCATGCAAAACAAACTGATATGAAAATATAAGGGCTCCAATACTTTAAACCTTTTGTGAGCATGACCCAGTGGATAAATCAGGTGATAAGTGAAAGTCTTGCCAAAATGAAAATTGTTTTACCTTCAGTACTTCCAGAAACTGCATAGTCGTGGTCATTGTGGTTTAGCTCTGCTTGTCTGGGTTGCTCTGTATTGAGGGTTCCTTCTGTTTCTGTTTCAGTAATTTTGCGTCTGTAAAATATTATTTTTATGCTCTTCAATAAACAAATATATATATTTTAAAAGTTAAAAAAAAATAATAGTTATAAATATACAATTATCATTGAAAACCAAGCTAACTCTCATATACATTACATATAAATGATACATATACATATATACATATAAATGAAGGAGGAGATGAAAAAGAGTCATATTGACATAAATTTTAGAAAGCAACCATGTATGAAGATCTGTCAAGTAAGAAATATTTACCTTTTTGGCTCGACAAAGTCAGGAAAGCAATTATTTTTGCTGTATACAAAAATTGTCGGCCCATTCTCTTTTCTCCCATCTTTAAAGTGGCAACTGCAAATTCGATCATTACTATTGTATTCTCTATCTGCTCTCCTGAAAAGGTTGAGGATAAATTCAATACTATATAATCAAATTAATAATTTCAAAATTGTTTGTACAACATTATTTAAACTCACATCTATAAATAGCAGTTAGTTTACTTTCATATGTTTAATGTAAACTTTTGGTGTAATGCTACATCGTATCCTGTATGACCGATTAGCTAGGGGTGTCCACACTGTGGCTCGAACCTACAACCCTCAGATTCAAAATCCAACGCTCTACCGACTGAGCTAAAGGGTTAACCCACTACCTAGTGCTAGTAGGAGCGTGGCCTCACTATATACAACACAAAGGCACTTTTAACTCTGTTACACTTCCCCCTTCTTGAGATTTCTTACCCCTGAGAAATCTCACACACGAGACTCTATAAACATCACTCACCATGTGGGTTTTGTAGTTGAGCGCCAATATGACTGATTAGCTAGGGGTGTCCACACTGTGGCTTGAACCTACAACCCTCAGATTTAAAATCACTCTATTTACTGAGCTAAAGGGTTAACCCACTAGCTAGTGCTAGTAGGAGCGTGGCCTCACTATATACAATGCATAGCCACTTTTAACTCTGTTACACATGTATTCTCTTTATTATTTTGAATTAATTTCATATTACTAAGTATAAAAAATATGAAAATAAATTGGACATTAAGCATTTCTAATATGGGTCTTGTCTGAGAGATTATGTATGATACCAGCTGATTTTAAAAGTTCTGTTAATCATGAAGATTGAGACAGAGTGAAGACATATAAATACAGAAGATAATTTTAAAATAATTCTAAATATTAATTTGCACTGAAAAGTCAAGCCACGATTTCTTTGTTCCTTTCTTAAACAATCATCTGACAATTTCTACTAATTGGTTAAATTTATAACTATTCCCTTGTAAATACAATGATATACATGTATATGTAAGGCCTGCAAAGTTTTGTTTGGTATAGGCCTATAACCATGATAACATGACACGGGGCTTGGATCTATCAGACAGGTTTTCCAGTTTAATGTTTTGTTAAAATTAGTATTATCATTTGTATACCTGCATCTATCAATCCATTTCTTCCTCTTTTTTGGATCTGTAGGAAATCTGAATAAACTACATGTTCGATTCGCGCCAGTCATATGGGTACACCCGAAGGCAAAACACAGCGGCATCTTGGTCTGCTGCCCGGAAGTTGCAAATCGAAAATGAAAGTAAACGAGACTTTCCGACCCTATTAAGAACTCTGGTGCACCCGTTTCGGTGTTTATTTGCAAAATTTATTAATTTATAAGCATGGCCTTAGGAACCGGGGGGCACGGGGGAGGGGTGGGGTATTGCTATAAATAAGTAAGATGATGGTTTAGTGGAAATAACAGGAACTCGGCAGGTGTGAATCCAGATGATAAAATTTTTGTATCGTTTTCTGATATGTTTAATCGATTGTGGGTTCCTCAATCATGCGGATTCACAACACGTGTGACGTTTATTCTACGACACCAAAACAAAAGTAAGTCGTACATCGTTCAGTTCATTAGTACATATACACATTCGTATAATATCGTTACATCTCCCTTCTTTTGAGTAAAAAGGTATGCAAATAAAAATGCAAAAAAAAATCTGTAAACACATTTGTTTGATTGAACAGAACCATTTTCTCATTTAAACATTTAAACAGATACAATTACTTTGGGTTTCACAACTCTACCATTACGAATGATATAAGGGGTGGGGTTACGTGTAGCAGGAGATTCATCCTTAGCCTCAGTAGCTGGCTCTGAGATTGGATGGACAGAATGAGGACTTGCTGGAGTAGGGGGCAAAGTAGAAGGTTCTGTGAAATTGACGATATTGGAGTCTGATGTATCAGGCTCAAATTTTTCTTTCGAGTGGATCAGGTGTCGTCCGTTTCTACGGTACACTGCTCCCTCTGTGCTTTTTACTGTATATGATCTGTCTCCCTCATCTTTGGTGATTATTCCTTGCTTACATAGTTTCCCTTCTTGGTACCTTATTCTGTCTCCTACTGAAAGGGGTGGTAGAGGCTTAGCACTGCGATCGAAGTATTCTCTCTCTCTCTCTCTCTCTCTCTCTCTCTCTCTCTCTCTGCTTCCATCAATTTCCTGACCCTGACTAGCACCTTTGGTTTTAGATCGTCCGAAAATACTGGAAGTATAGACCTTAACTTCCTACTCATTCACAGTTGGACGGGTGAGGAGCCAAAGTTCAAAGGTGTTGTCCTGTATTCTAGTAGTCCTAGATTATAATCTTTCCCATCTGCCTTGCTCTTATTCAAGCTTCTTTTGGCAATCTGTACATTCTTCTCCGCCAATCCATTGGATTGTGGATACTTTGGACTGGAAGTGACATGGTTAAAGTCATACTCCTGAGCAAATATGGAGAAATCCTGGCTTGCCTATTGTGGACCATTATCCGATACAAAATTTCGTGGAATACCAATCCTACTAAACATCATCTTCATTTTTTCTATAACAGCTTGACTGGTTGTCTTGTGTAGTTTCTCTTTTTCAAAGTATCAACTGTAGTAATAAACCACTAACAGGTGCTCCTGGTTGTTCCATTTGAACAAATCTGTAGCTATGGTGTCCTATGGGTAGTCTGGAATATCATGACTGATCAGTGGTTCCTTTTGGGTTTGAGTTTCTCCTCTCTAAGCAAACTCCACATTCCAGAACCATGTTTGTGATGTCTGCTGATATCCCGGGCCAAAATATAATGATTCTAGCTCTCCTCAAGCATTTTTCTACACCCATGTGGCCGATATGTACAGCGTCCACTCAGCTACGTTAAGGAAGGCCTGAGTTCACATTTGTGATGCACTGTATGGGAAGTTTCATTGTGACGTCATTAAAAATTTCACAAGCGACAAAAATCTATTTAACTACATGATAATGCGTAAATGAAAACTTGCATTCATTTATTTTATCAATTATTTATAAAAGAATGTTAAATCACAACATTTGATAACAATACTGCTGAGTAATTAGAAGCAAATCTTATGTCAGAAATGAAGTCACTAGCCTTGACTTGACGCAGTACAAGTGATCCAGAGGAGTGGATCCAGTGGTTTAATAATTACAAAAATGCTTAAATAAATATAAAACCATCGCAAAAGTTTAAATCTAATCAGTAATATTGAAAGTCAATAATTTATTTAAAACACATATGTAGATTATTTTATCTAGGTGCTTTGGAGCTGCACAACGACAGAGAATGTAAAGAATATCGCTAACACGATAATTATTTTCCTAATTAACCTCAAAAGTGCAAGGGCATAGAAAACACTGTTTGAGCTGAAATACGGAATATCAATTGCTTATATCATATATATTTTAAAAAGTGCTGGGAGCCGATTATGGTTGGCGTGGCATTTTCATTCATGACAGAAATAAAGCAAAGTAGGAATTTTTAGCTATTGTACGCATTTTCAGCAAAATTACGAGCATTTCCGAAGCAGTTCAAACTAGCTCCCAGCACTTTTCGGGTAGCCTATGTAAATCTTTTTTAATGTGTAACATTTTTTCTCTCCAAAAAACATGCGTATACCCTTGCACTAGCGTCATTTTCTACATTCAGCTTATCAATTCTGTTTTTATACCAGTCACGTGACACAGAGCTGATACATGCGATATAAATGGTACTGTGTGCGGACCCAAACCTATCCATTATGGATATCTATATTACCTTTCCTACATGTAACCAGTTACTTTGTTATAAAGATTTTTAAAAATAATACATTTTAAGAAGGTACTTAGATCGCATTTTCCATTTCCTTCCTTAAAATAGCTGAGCATCATCTGGCGTCTTAAGTCTCTTGGTATGATTATCTTGTAACCCTTAAATATAATGCCATCTATCTCGATATCTATATCTCTATCTATATATCTAACTCATCTATCTATGGTTCCAATATTTTAGTGCTTGGGATGGACATGTTTTGCGTTTTTCAAGCCAACCATCATGTATTATGTTTATAAGAATCTTCATCTGTGGGTCAGCTTGGGTTGCTAATCTGACTTCCTCTAATCTTCTTTCACTCATTCGAGTACTGGACATCACTGTATGTACATGTAGATCCATGCCTGCTGTTAGCTGTGGGTAAGTATCTGGCAGAAACTTGTGTGAAAGGGTATCCGCAATTGGTATGTCTTTGCCTGGGATGTGCGTCAACTTCAGAACATAGACCTGCAATTGCAAAAGCATCCTTTGTAACCTTGCTGGGGTCTGTGCGAGTGGCTTTGTGTGAATGGCAGCTAGGGTTTA